TCGGAGGAGGAACAATTAACCGAGAAAACCCAAATAAATTAAAATATGAGGAATGAGGAGAAGAAAACCCAAGGCGATGAGGCCATGAACATGCCAAGGAACGAAGGAGGGTAACGACGACTGCTAGGGAAAAACCCTAGCAGAGCTCCTCAAGAAAGCTGTGGTTCAGATTTTTTTTTTTATGTTTCTATGTGGGGTTTATTTTAGAATTTAGTAATTGGGTAACAAAATGGATTAAAATATTAACCAAATTAAATTCAAACGTCTTGAAGACCTTACGATTATAGGTGAAAATTTTAAGGCATTTGAATGAGAAGATGAATTTCTAAATTTTTCTTAAGATGTCTAACCCTAACAACTAAGTGAATTTCCTAGGACATACAATGACTTGGATTAAAGTGAATTAAATGGATATCTAATTCTAATACATAAACCTAACAATAAAATAAAAATAATTCATAATCCTAGATGGATTATATGTTATAACAATTTAAATTTCTATGTCAAAATAATGACTTTAAGTTTCAAAAATTCATGCATGGAGGCCATAATATGTCTCAAATACATCTGGGTAAATTTTGTCAAGTTAATAACATCTCATATATCATCCTATATTAATTTTAGGCCTAATTGAGCTTACTATGTGCAATAATTAAATAAACATAAATTTTTGTATTGATTATATTAAGTAGAATCTAATAAACTACATTCCACAAATACGTAATCATTGGATAGTGTTATTTATCATGAATGCATAGGAGTTCATACATAAAAAATGCTCCAGTGGATTGGGATAAAATATTTTTTGAAGTGTTATTAGATTTTTGCATTTAAAATCCCTAATTTCACGAATTACATGGTTGGCAGCTGACACGAGATGCAATTTCCATGCGGTGAACTCTAATTCACTATTTGAATATGTAGTGGGTCTAAGGACAACTCAGGTTGAATAACATCCATTCAATCTAAGATCGTACGACAACAGACAAAGCACCAAATCTTGTGGAGGTTTGAAGCCATCTGGTTTGACGTAATCAGGGATGTAAAAGAAAAATAGGACATGGATGGCCCTGATTTCTTCTTCAACCTCTAGCTTTGATTATAGTTAATCTATGTAAAACTAATTAACCTAGGATTTTTAATACATATATTAGCTTCAAAATAATCTAGTAGAATCTTAATGAAAAAAAAAAGAAAAAAAATCCAACTATGAAATTCTCGTGGATTGACCATTTTTATAACAAAGGTCGGAACCTCTATTATATTGAGCTCAAGTTTGAGATATACCTCAAAGGAGTGTTCTACTGTTGGGGCTTTTTAATCCAATGAGTTTGCCTAAGTCTAGGGAATAAGTTTCCTCCAGAAGTTGAGGCCTAAAACAAGCTAGAGGAGAATAGTTGGATTGGCATTACCACCTTTTCATCGGAGCTCACTCAAAGTTGCAATTGGAGGGGTCTGGAAGCCTAGGGAAATGAAGGGGAAGATTGGTTTTCTCTGGAAAAGTTAAAGGAAGTTTCAAATAGCAAGGTAATGTAATGAAATCCTCTATATAATTTGTTATTTTGGAAAAATTAATCCATCTAGCTTTCATGGGCCATTGGGATTGCAAAGATTGCTCAGAGATGCTGCCAGGTGAACCAAATTGTTTAGGGATAGAGAAGTGAAGAAGGAGGTCATTTTCAAGCATGCTGGGTTTCTTTGGGTTGGGTTCACTTTTTGAATTTTCAATGGGATGGAGCAAAGTGACTAGCAAGCTATGGGGTATGATTTGGAAATTTGTATGAAGTATGTAGAGTGAAATGCAAGAGTTAGACTTGGGTGAATTGAAGTAAAATTATTTTTTACCCATTGGGTCCCCTTTGGGCTACCTCAATGGTTGACGACCTAGGTCAGCCCATGGGGTTGGTTGGCTAAGGTAGAATGCTTAAGATGTATATTGATGTTTGGTATGGGTTTAGATAAAATGGCTATCATGGTTTGAGTATAATTCAAAACGCATGATGTATTTGTTATATATGGGTTACATGGGTGACTTTGTCAACCATGATCCTCTATGGCTTATCAATGGGTCCAACTGGCTCTATCATATTCAAACAAGTGATTTGGTATATTAAGAGGCCTCCCATGACTTTAATTGGGTTTGAACATGCGAGAGAGGTGTATGGGCATATATGGTAAATTAGGTCTACCATGGTCAACCATGGCTAACCAAGTATTCAAATGGTTTTAATTAGGTTTATTGAAGTTTATAAAGGGTTTAAATTGTAAATCAAATGTTTGTACATAGCTTGATGCTGAAAATATCACATTGTATATTTAGGGATGTTTTGTTAAATTTGGCTTTAACCATGACTTAGTTAGGATGAATAAAATAATTTTTTAGATCATTCAAAATGTAATGGATAAACTCAATTCTGATGGGAAAGTCAAAATGTAAATTTTGTGGTTTTAGGACCTATTAGGTATTTTAGGAAATGTGAATTAAATTAAATGGTTTTAGAGTATGCAAGGGCTATGAATGGGTCATATCTATTCAAGAGAGGCAATAAGATGATTTGGTTCAACTTTAAGATCATGGGAATGAGTTTGATCAAATATTGATAATGAATGTAATGGTATCTAGTTTGTGGGTAAAGGGCTTTAGGTTTAGATTTTTTTTAATGAAATTTGTATAAGGTTTAGAAGTGTCACTAGGAAGTTTCCTATGGTCTAGGTTTGGTCTCCAACTAAGTCTTTAGGTTGCCCCCTAAAGTCCCTACAGGTTGGGTCTAAACTAAACTTAGGATGAGTGGTAAGGAATAAAACTTGACCAAATAAAAATGAGGTCAACAATCACAAATCTTCACCAATTTCAATTATTTTGATAACTTTATAATCAACTTAACTTAAATAATTGACATTGATAGTCTCTATTAGATGTAACTATTTACTCACTCATTATTACTTGTGTATAATGGTGTATTCTTGAACGCATATCTTAATCATACTAGTGTGTTAAGCAAATACAATCCATCCAATGGATAATGAAGCATGCATTGAGTTCAAAGGAAATAGGAACAAGGAAGGGGAAAATAAAAGATTTAAAGGGGGAAAATCTTTATTGTTAGTGCTCGTCTCTTTCCTAACTTGCTTTACGAAAACCTAAGATAGTGGGTCAAAGAATTATAACATAGATTGAACTTGTCTCTTTCAACAATTGTATCACCATTTATCACATCCAATTTTATCATTATGTCTCTCATACTACTCCTCAAGTGCTCCTTATTATATCCAATTGTAGGATTATTTCCCTAGGACTCTTCATCAGGGGTTCCTAATTACATCTCACTATATGATTATGTATCTAAAATACCTAATTTCTCCCAATTACGTCCTATTACAATATTTTATCTCTTAAACTCGTCTTTTGTATCTCCTTATTACATCTACTTATAAGATTATATCTCTTAGAATTTTGACTTTAATAGCTACCTATTACATCCCACACTAGATTATGTCTCTTAGACTCCATTTTAGGAGCTCACTATAACATCCCATTACATAATTATGTCTTTAGAAAACCTCTTTATGAGCACCCTATTACATCCCATAAAATGATTATGTCTATTAGACTCCTCTTTAGGAGCTCCCTCTTTCATCTCATAATAAGATTCTCTCTCTCTTACTATTTTTTAAAAAATCCCTATTATCTCCCATTGTACCATTATGTCTCACTAAATCTATTTTAGGGCTAGCAATTACATCCATTATATGTTTATGTGTCCTAGAATTTTCTCTAGGAGCTTTTAATTATTTCATGTTGTAAGAGTATATCTCTTGCACTCATCTATAAAAGCTTCTTATTATAACCCATTGCAATATTATTCATTTCAAACACATTTTTGAAGCTTTTATTACAATTATTAGCAAGTTCTTCTTTCAAATTCACACTTAAAAGCTCCCTATAGTTATCCAAACACACCTAATTAACTCAATTACTTATGGAATGAATTATTGGCTTTCTTTCATCACCTATAGAATGACTTGTCCCACATCCATAAGATCTCTTGGGATAACCTAATCTCATGGTTTACGCTTAAAATCCTCACAAGATATTTCAGACATCAATAAGTACTTGGTCATTTTATGGTAAGATATTTAACTCACTTACACTCGGATTTTCATTTAGTTAGTTTGATGGGAGTTTTACATACATACCACTTAATACTATTCTATTTACATATTTAACACCTAAAACTTTAATATTACATAAATACCACCCATAGTTCATTTTCATACAAAATATGAGTGGTAGAAATGAAATATATGATTGGTAGGAAAGAAATATAAGTGGTATATTTGATATTAAAATAATATAGGGTGGTATGGATGTAATATTAAAGTTTTAGGTGTTAGATATGTAAATAGGATGTTATAAAGTGGCATGTATGTAAATTTCCCTAGTTTGATTAGTTTGGTTGATGAATTAGCTAAATCATTTAGCTTAATTTTAAAATTAAAAAATTGTACCAATCAAACAATTTTCCAAATTGGCCTAATTGAGTTAAACTTTAGTTCAGTCAATTCAATTTGATCCACATAACGAGACATAGAAAAGAAGGTTTAACCTATGCAAAATAATTTCACCTTGGGAAAGGAAGCAATTTATCATTTTCTTCAAAGAAGTAAATGAATCCATTGTGCTTCCATTGAAGATTATATAAAGCAATGAATATTATCATTATCACATAAAAAAATCATTGATTCGAATCACGTTTATTTTTAGCATTATTGATTATCGTTTAATTCTTTTTCGTTTTATTTTATTTTTGTTTGTATATATATATATATATATAGTCTGTGCATATTAAGATTGCTTTTTATCGCTAAATGTTAAGAAAATAACTTGATTATTAATAATTGAGAGAAGACATGAAATTATACCGCTAAAAAAGAAAATTTTCTATTATGCAACAGACCTTCGCGCTACCTCACGCAATATTTATACATAACGACGATGTCTCCATTGTTAAATCGATCAAGCCAGGGGGCAAGTGGAGCGAGGACGACACGGGAGAAAACAGGGAGAAGGGTGGTTTATCATTTCGTTAACAAACATGCAGAGGGCGGTTTTCCGGTGGCTTTCTCCTCTCCGGCGAGGCAAGAACGGCTCCCCCTTCTCTGGCCTTGCCGCGGCGCAGGCAGAGGTGGAAACCCTTTCCGGGAAGAACAATGCAGGCCTACCGAAATTACCCCCGTTCGACTACTCTCCTCCTCCGTACGATGGCCGCCCGGACGGCTGAGATTCTCCTAAAGCGCTCCGAGTTCCTCAGCCCTCTCTCTTACATTTATACAAGAATCGCTGTACGTTCTTCTACTCTTGGTTTAGTAATTTGTGTTGGATAAAAGTTCTCTTATTTTCATTAATAATTGTGGTTTTTAGTTTTTTTTTTCCCTTCTAATCGAAACTTTTTTTTTTTTCAAAATTTGAATTATATATATATTTTTTTATCTCAACTTCCCTCGATCTTGCTCGCGTTAGGTTCCAATTGATGAATTGCAATTATTTTTATTTTGTGCTCATGATTTTCCTATGATCGCAAGCAAATTGGCGATTGCCTTGTTTGGGTTTGAAAGTGCAATGACCCGCCAGATCTCGTTAAGGAATATACGAAGGTATATCATCTCCGACCATTGACTCATCAGTGATCCATTTGAAGACCATGCTTATTGGATTAGCTGAGGAAGTATCTAATTGTTGAAGAGGGAGGTTTCATCGTGAAAATCGGGAACTATTAGGGTTAGATTTAGTACTTGTATCTTGTTTTACTCTTTAAATAAAGTAAGCATTTATATTATCTTAGTTTATAATATAACTTTTGAAATGAGGTTAAAAATTTTTAGTTTTTTAATAAATGAATTTCGAAATAAATATTACTAAATCTTGTTCATAAATTTATTTTACGTTCCATTTAATTTGTATTATATTTAAAAAGAGAAAATTATGTTTCAAAATATCTTGACTTAATTTTTGTTTCGATGGACTTAGAATGTTTTTGAATTTATGTTGAAATTAATTTTAATAAATAATATTATAAATTATATTAATTGGAAAATAAATTTAAAAATTTTAAGTTAATCGTCACATAAATTGCATCCGAATATCCGTAAACAGATTTTTTTATTAAGCAGCATCATAATTTTCATTGATGCGGAGAAACGCAGAGGATTAGGAGCTGAAAGGCTGAGTCAGGATTTGACGTTTATGTCAGAAAGTTTTGTTGGAAGTATAGCTGTCTCTGTATAAAGTATTTTGGACGGGATTTCCAGAGTGTATTTTAATCATTGGTCTTGGAATAAATGTATTGCTTCTTTGGTTAGAATACTTAGTACTAACCCCCCAAAAAAAAAAGGATACTTAGTACAATGTAGGAGCATTCCAAGGTTCGATTTTTGCACTGATAGATAAGATAGTCTTAAGAAGGAGACAGCTAAAGTGGCCCCAGAGGAGATTTTTTTTTATTGAAATGATGTAGAAAATTATTAAATAATGATCGCGTGCCTGCCTTAAATTTTTTCCTTGCAAAACTGACAAACAATCAAAAATGATATTTAACACTCTAGGGAAAAGAACAGTGCTTTTTTACTCTGAGGAGGCGAAATTAATATTGTGGTCATGGATGCCATAGGGAGGTCAATAAAGATGTGCCAAATCATCAATATGTTTTATATCATTACTGTGTACTGCTATATATCTGACGAGGTGGCGCGTCTTGATTGGCCTTCAGACAGTTCGGTGACCGCACGTAATAATCTCTTGAGAGCTAAAATGGCTCCAGAGGAGTAAAAAATTTTGTGGTAATGTAGACAGCTATTAGTGATGATTACATGCTATAAAATTTTTTCTTGCACAAATGTAAAACAATCAAAACACCCATTTGATTCTTTAGGTAAAAAATTGGTGCTTTTTTCTCCTGATTTTCAAATTGTTGGTACTTTTGATTATTTTTAGATAGATAATATATTTTGGAAAATAATTATTTTTTTTGTTTTTGTGAATATTTAGTGTTGTGGAGCAATTTTTGATATAAGCAGAATTTGAATACATGATTTTAAAAAGAACTTACAAATTCTCATCAGCTAAGCTAGTTAACATAAAAAATGTTAAAAATTTCCTATTTATTATTCCTTTGGACATAAATAAAATTCATTGATCCCACATTAAATTAGGGCTCATCCAGTTTCTTTTAGCAGAAAACATGTTTTGGAAAGTAATAATTTTATTTTTTCACTTACTTTGTGTGTGAAATTGAAATTTGCTTTTTATGAAAATTTTGGAGAGTTTCTGAGCATTAGAACAATTTTAATCTCTAGCCACACTACTTTAATTGATAGAAGTAGCCATTTATTTCATTTTTAAGAAACCGTTGCCTAAAATAAAATCATCACTTCCCAGAATTTATTTTCTATCATAATAATTGTTAACTTTGTTTTCGTTCGTACCTATGTTTTGTTTCAAAGTTTATTAAGAAGTTTTAGTTCACATCTGATGGGTGGGGGCTTCAGGGGTTTGTGGTGGTGTGTGCATTAGGATGGGATGGAGGCTAGAGTAAGAGTTTGAATGGAGGAGATAACTATTCCCCACCAAAAGAATTCTCAAACTTTGGCCCCTAAGCCATTCACAAGCATGAAAGAGAGAGAAAGTCATATTTATGTATCCAAAGAAAATTGTCTAATAAAGCATAAACAAGCATATTTAAATGTACTCAATTCAACTTAATCCATAAAAGTAGCTTGCTTAAAAATTAATTAGAAGGCAAGGAGCCGCCAACCTAATTCCATTGAACAATTTCTTACAACATGTGCTTAAAAGATGGAGATCTAACATTGAAGCTTTGATTTTTTGGAGATGACTTGAATTGTGGAATTGAAGAGAAGAGGTCAGTTAACCATGAATTCAAACCATGAGGGTCTACCAAAGCAATCCAACCACCTTTCCACTAAAAAAGAGTATGAGTTAATGTAATAAAATAATTACATAGCACATGCAAAGTGACGGGACTTGATTTGTGATATTTTCATTAGCCTGTGCACCACTTGATGTTTTTCTGCATCAAAATCCCATAGGATTGTTACTGTCAAATCAGCAAAATGGGAAAAGAATCTCATCCGGTACCCTTTATCAAATAAGAGAACCAACAACAACAACATCAAGCCTTTATGTGGGGCTGACTAAATGAATTCTTTTTCTCCTTTATGACCTGTTAAGAGTCAAATCCTCATTTTAATCTTATAAAAAATGTCATTTCTAATATTTTCTAACCATGTCTTCTTAGGTATGCCTCTACCTTTCATAACATAAGCCAAATCTAATGCATCTACTCTTCTAACCCGGTCGTCGGAAGACTGCCATTTAAGTGACCAGACCATCTAAGACGACTCTCTAATCTTATCCGCCGCTGGAGCTACTCCATTCTTTTCACGGATATGCTTGTTTCATATATTGTCTCTAAAAGCAAAGCCACTCATCCACCTAAGCATTCTCATTTCTGCAACACTTTACTTGATATTATGCTTCTCGTTTAGTGGCAAACATTCTAGGTGATAAAGCATTGCAGGTCCCACCACCATCTAATAGAATTTTCCCTTAAGTTTGAGAGGCACTTTTCTATCACACAACAAGCCTGATGCATTCCTCCACTTCAACCATCCAACTTGAATTCTACTAATATTATCCCCATCTATTTCACCATCACACTGACTAACAAATCCAATATATCTAAAACTTGTACTCTTACTAATGACTTGATTGCCCAAAGTCACAATCCCTCCTCTAGATCTATTACTACTAAAATTACACTCCATGTATTAGGTTTTAAATCTACTCAAACGAAAACCTTGAGACTCTAAGGTTGACCTCCATAATTCAAGTTTACTTTCAACTCCCTCTCTTGTCTTATCAACAAGAAGAATATCATTAGCAAAAAACATACACCAGGGTTTATTCTCTTGCAAATGTCTAGTAAGAATATCTATGACTAAAGCAAAAAGGTATTGGCTTAAGGCTGATCCTTGATGTAATCCAACTAAAATAGGAAAATATGTGTTTGAACACAAGTAATAGCTCCTGCCTATGATGCACTGACACGTACACGACACGGACATGGGACATGACATTTTTTTTTAAATATAGGACACGGGTGCGGCGTGGATATGACATAATAATTTTTAATATAATATATAGAAATTAAGGTGACATTATATTAAAAATGACAAGCAATAATAAATCAATTTCATGATAACTTGTTTAGCTTATAACACAAAGATGTTTAGTACAAAATGTCTAGTACAACCATAAAAATATAAGCAAAAAATCATTTAGTACAACATGAAGGTCCAACTACTCAATTGAGGGAATGATAGAATTAGATTCAGAAGTTGATTTTTGGCCTTCAATATCATCATCATTGAATATTATTGCTTCCAACTCCGGTTCATCTAGAGAAAGATTTGCAACCTCCAATAACCATATCATCAAGGCACTCGAACCCATCTCCACCAACATCTCACATCTTGTAATCACATGTCATATAAAGTGGGGTTTTCCTTGATAGAAGACGAAGATTTGTATACACATAAATTAAATCTTCAGCTCGTTGTGGAGTTATTTTATTCCTATTCATTGATTGAATAAATGAGTATGTGCTCCAATTTCTCTCACAACAGGAAGAGGATGACACTTGGAGTTCTGCTTATTTTTAAAGTTCGTAAGTTATTTGTATGGAAAGATACCGAGCATGTACTGAGCGGTACCGAGCATGTACCTAGTGGTACCGAGCTTGTACCTAACGGTACCGAGCATGTACTGAGTGGTATCTAGCGATACCTAGCGGTACCGAGCATGTACCTAACGATACCGAGCATGTACCTAGCGATACCTAGCGGTACTGATGCAAGGGCCCCAAATTTTTGCTTACAAAATAAACTCTTTCTAGATAATAGAATATTACAAGAACTCACTAAAACTAGACAATTTATGACAAAAATAAACTTTAGTATTATAAGAGACGCTTGCAGGACGCTTACAACTTTGACTTACAAACAACATATAAACATAAAAATACACCTAAAGTTGCTCTTCTTTACTTGAGATGAAAGATACAGATGAGGTGGCACTTGCAGCGAGAAGAAAGAGGTTAGAAGCCAAGATGAAGGATGAGGACAAGCTCGCAAGCTTTCCCAAGGAGGAGAGGAAGAGAAGTTGGACAAAGCTCACAAGCTTTTCCAAACAACAAACCCACAGGTTATGGCTTCCAAAAATCACATCATAAGCAACTCTCTTAAACTCTAAAACAGCCACAAATTTATAGGAGAGAAAGGGAAGACAAACAGCCACTAAAACACATTAAATATCTTAATTAAAAAAGAGAAATAGAAGGCCAAAAGACAACAAGAAGAAGGCTAAAAGACAGCCCAAAAACTATAGCAGAAAACTGCACAGAAAACTTAGAGGCAGCAACCGAAATCCCCACCCAACAGCCACCAAACAGCAGACCTCATTCGGTACAGGAAACAAAGAAGAGAAGTCACAGGAACCAAGCAGCCAACCACGGGAACTAAGCAACCAGCCATTGGAACCAAAGGGCCAAGCCACGGGAACCAAGCAGCCATCCACGGAAACTAAGCAGCCAGCCACAGGAACCAAAGGACCAAGCCACGGGAACCAAGCAGCCATCCACGGGAGCTAAGCAGCCAGCCACGGGAACCAAACAACCATCCACGAGAACCAAGCAGGCAGCCAAGAGAAACTGAGGAGACAAGGAGAAAACTGAAAGAAAAAATGGGGAAGAGAAAGGGCCAAGATCCACCATAATGAGCTTCCACTAAACTTACATAAATGAGCTAAACTTTTTACTTCAATAAATGAACTAAAAATAGCTCATAATGAGTTAAATTTCAGCTCAAAATATTAATGGCTACCAAGCCCAAGAGTAGTTAAAACCAAAATTTAGGATTTAATTTGACCCCCCCCCCCTTGCCTACATCAGGTACCGAGCATGTACATTTGCTTTTGTTTTTGGTAAGTTTCAAAAAATAACAATTAATATTTCAGGCGTCGAGAGTTAGACGTAGATGTCATTTATTAGTCACTGAGAGGAGATGAAAATATCTTCACTGTCAAAAATTAAGAAATAAAAATGAGAATATTCGATGATTGGGAATTAAGTGCGGACGTTGATTTGGTGTTGTGGATAGGAAATAAAAAATTTAGTTTAAATCCCGCAAAATATAAGAAATTATATTTAAAATAAATTATAAAATATTCACGTGTCCGACACGCGTGTCCAATTTGCATTTAGTATTTTTTAATCGGACACATTTTTGGTGTGTCCGACACGTGTCGGAGGAGTGTCGGAAGAGCGTCGTGTCGGACACGGTGTCGGACACTGCACGCCTCTTTGAGGAGAAGTGTCGGTGCATCATAGGCTCCTACGTACATATCCTTAATGACTTGAATATAAGCAACCCCTTTCTTATCTAGAACTCTCCATAGCACTTCTCTTGAAATTTATATATGCTTTCTCTAAATTAATAAATATCATATGTAGTTCCTCCTTATTCTCTCTATACTTCTCCGTCAAGCCTCTCAATAAATATATAGCTTCCATAGTAGACTTAATCAGCATGAATCAAAATTTGTTATCAAACAAGAGAACCTATCGTTTCAAATTAACCTATAGTCTTAATGTGTATATTTTATGCTGTGAGTATTCTGGAGCAGACACTAATCTCATTCTTTTTGCTTTTCTTGCAGTTGAATGTTGTTGATGGCAAGATGCAGTACTTGTATGATGAGGATGGCAAGCGATACCTTGATGCTTTTGGCGGAATTGCCACCGTGTGCTGTGGGCATTGTCATCCAGAGGTTGTTGAAGTTATTGTAAACCAGATCAAACGGATTCAACATTCTACTGTTTTATATCTCAATCACGCCATTGCAGATTTTGCAGAAGCATTGGCTTCTAAGATGCCTGGTGATCTCAAGGTATGCATTGTTAACTTGATATGCGTACTGCTGCAGTATTTAAATTCTTTTCGATCAACTCTTTGTAGACCAGTTGTTTCAGTTTTCTTGGTATTTTTTGTATAGGTTGTATTTTTCACAAATTCTGGTACAGAAGCAAATGAGCTTGCCTTGATGATTGCCCGACTTTATACTGGCTGTCATGATATTATATCAATCAGAAATGCATACCATGGAAATGCAGCTGGAACAATGGGAGCCACAGCTCAGTCAATTTGGAAGTACAATGTTATTCAGGTATAAATTTTTTTATTAGATGAGAAGATAAACTGCATATCTATACTAAATAATGCATGGAAATGCACAACGGGCATGGAAATCATCTGGAGCTAGAACAAAAAGATTGCCGTTATTGTGCAGGAGTTTGAAAAATTCTCATTTTGAACTGGTAGACATTGCTTATTAGTGAATTTTTCGTGTTGCTTTTTTGACTCTTTGTTAATGATTAAAAGGTTAATTTCCGTTTTCATCATCCAATTTTAAGTAGTTGCAAATTGCAAGATTATAATAGCATTCTACTTGCTTTCAAGTAAGGGCATACAGTAGGGGTCGTTCTGAATAATGTATTGTTCGCCAAGGAAATGCTAACAAAGTGTGATTCTCTGTAACAAGCTAATTCAACAGGTTTCAACTTTATTGATCTATTTGCTTTTTTGGTTTTTACAACTAACAGAGTGGAGTACATCATGCGGTGAATCCAGACCAATATAGAGGTGCTTTTGGATCTGAGGGTGAAAAATATGCCAAGGATGTTCAAGAAATTATTGACTTTGGAACGTCTGGACGGATTGCAGCTTTTATTTCTGAAGCAATTCAGGTTTTTTTCTTAGAATATTTAACAATCATTAACTTATTGCATCATTAATGGCTAAAATTAAATTTGTTTTGTTGTAACCCATTTTTTCTTTTAGTGAATTGAGATCATAATTTGCATATTATGTTTGCTAACTTGATGAAGTATAGGAGAAATTTTAATTATTATCACGAATGATTAGTATAACATTTTGTTTTCATTAAAACTTCGTTAAATTATGTAAATAAAGAGTTCCACTTCCAGATTGTCTGAATTTAATGTTTTCTGCCCCTTGATCAGGGAGTTGGTGGTATAATGGAATTAGCTCCTGGTTACTTGCCTGCTGTATATAAAACAATCAAGAATGCTGGGGGCCTGTGCATAGCAGATGAAGTTCAATCAGGATTTGCACGAACCGGAAGCCATTTCTGGGGGTTTGAAGGCCATGGTGTTATTCCTGATATAGTGACCATGGCAAAGGTGAATTATAAGCACACTTTTCTTTTTCATATTACCAATAAACACTTTAACTTATTTATCTATATGGCATGCAATATTTATTGAACTCGTCCAGTGGACATTATTGATATTAAAACTAGAGATGAATTTTTACAATTCTGGGAGTAGGATTATCTTTGTCCTTCTAGATTTTGATGTTTTCATCTATCAAATGCAAGGTAACAGCCATCTATTCTATTTAAGATCATCAAAACTAGCATCATATATGGTTTCAAGAGCTTTATAAACTGTTTAATCAACAATTAGAATCCTCAACAACTTCTTACAATTGACTTTGATTAAGTGTTTAGGGTTTAGGGTAATTGTGATTACTAGACACATTCAATTGTCTTGGAATTGAATGGATGGATTGTTGATTATATTTAGAATATATTTCATAATTTTTATTGGGGAAGAACAATGTAAATTGTAATGCTACTTTCCAGTATATTTAAAATCTTTTTTGTTTGTCCTTGCATTTATCAAAATTTTTTATGAATGGATAAATTATTATGAAAATTGTTGCATTTTTTCATTAAGTGGTAGATCGTTATCAATAGTGTGGCCCTAGCTTTGGAGATAATTTAATGCAGTTGATACAAATACAATATCAGGAGAATATTCATATCTAGAAGCTAGAAATTATTATATCATAAGAAAGAAAATCACCAGACAGATCCATGCACACACACATAAGGATTCGGAGTCAGGATATTAGGCAAGCAATTGGTTCAGGGTTGTGTTTCCTGAAACCTTGTCTTACCAATTATTATTAAAAGTTGAATATTGCATTATGGTAAAGTACAGTTTGCTTTACTGTTTACTTATTTATTTGAATTGTCATCAGGGCATTGGTAATGGGATACCTATTGGGGCAGTTGTTACCACTCCAGAAATTGCTGAGGTGCTGACCAGGCGAAATTACTTTAACACTTTCGGCGGAAATCCGGTTTGTACTGCTGCAGGGCATGCTGTTTTAAGAGTGATAGAGAAAGAAAAGCTTCAAAAGAATGCATCTGTTGTGGGATCTTACCTGATGGACAAACTCAAGAAGTTACAGGAAAAGCATGAAAGTAGGCTTCTGTTCTCTTAGAAACTTCAATTCTTTTTGCTTTAATGCACCTTCAGTTCAATCTAATCCCATTCAGTGCTCTTCTCTTGGATTCTATTGTAACTTAGCATGCAACCTGCTTCAAGCTTAGTAATTTGGCAAACCACGAGGAACCATTGGCATCAACTATTTTGATTACTATTTCAGTTGTCTTACAGTAAAAAGATGTATGCTTGTAGCATAGAGGCCACAATTATATGCTAATTTAAGAACTCACGGGCTTGTGAAATCTACTTTGGTAACTATGCATGTGTATATCAGACTCTGAAGTTTTTCATGAACCCAACTTAGCTTTCTATTTCGCCCTAACGCATATTTAGTACATAGAATTATTTGCATGTTCTCTCTATTCTGATATGATACATCATCACTGGTATGGAATATTTTGCTTTATGTTTGGCTGGATAAACCTTAATCTTTTTTTTTTCTATTCTGTTGTAGTCATTGGTGATGTAAGGGGAAGGGGCTTGATGATTGGTGTTGAGTTAGTGTCCGATCGACAGGAAAAAACTCCAGCCAAGGCTGAGATCTTGCACATATTGGAACTTATGAAAGGTTATCTTCCCCATTGCTCCTTTACTTTTTCAGATGGATCCTTGCAGAATTCAGTGATTTATTATTATTTAAAATATGTTCAATGCTCTTCTAGTAGTTTGTCAGGTTATCTTCTGTGCTAACCTTTTTTATTATGGCAAAACTGGGTACAAGGCCTGTCTCCGTAAAAAAATAAAAGAATAATTACGTCAGTAGACGTTACTGATTAACTACCTGTTAATGGTTAACAAATTTAAAAGCATTGCAATCAATAAAAAAACGACAATTAGTTCATCCAGCTGTTAACTCAACCAGACCAAGTAGGAACGAAATCAACGATTGTCTGAAACTCCTTAACATCTGTAGTGAAGCCAACCATCTGCAATTACTTGAGTTCGATCCCTTTTTTTTCCTTAAACACAGTCCAGAAATGCAAAAAAAAAAAAAAAAAAAAAAAAATCAAACCATAATGCACATTCATTTCTACGTGCTCACTTAAAAACTTGGTTGTTTCTTTCCGAACAAATGATCCGTAAAGCAACAATGAACCGACAACAAAGATCCTTGCATAAAGAAGTAATACTTTTCTACCGAACTATGAAGAAAAACCAAATATCTGAGAAAACAAATGAAACAGAGAAGATGTTTATAATCCTTATCGAAATAGTAAGAGCCATCTCACAAAATATAGAAATGCAGCATTCATTCTCTTCCTCAAGATCACACAAGATACGAAGTCTATAATATAATTCATTGTATAAAAGAGATAATAAAGCATGAAGGTGAAGATAAACATAGCAATAATCCAAAACACAAGTATAGGTAGTATGTATGTAATGAGATCCACCTACATTCACGGTCATATAGAGATCAAAATAGTCCACTTGGCTTTAAAACTAGTACATCGTGAATTTTACTTCATACATAGAGATGGCTTTATGTTACATCATTGTAATGATACCTCCATTTGTTTTAGTTGATGCGGAAGTGGTGAAAGACGACAACCCTTTGTTCTAGAACAATATGATTTGATTAAGGAAGGAGGAAAGCAAGGAAGGAGATTATCATAGTTATTTATCTCCCTAGGAATATAGCACATGCCTTGCTCCTCTTCATCATTGGTGCTGGAAGATTGCTCACTAGGAGAACTGAACATCCTCTCTCTTTCTTCTCCTACTCATGAGTGGCTTAATCGAGCCCCTTCTCAGCTGAGCACCCTCCATCTTCTCTTCTATAGAAGCACCTGAAGTCATTTATAGTAGCAGTCGAAAGTTTGCGCAGTAACAACACCTAAAACTCTCTTTTTGCACTCAAGTCCTCCCTCTTTCTCTCTCTCGCTTGGTATGCCCTACTATGGGATGCAAAGACTTCTTTTCTAGTGGTAACAAGGCATTAAGTTTGAAAATTTATATATAATTATAAGACATGCAAAGATTATGAAATTTGCAAAGCCTACAAGAAAGATTTTCTCAACCCACAAACAAAATAAGTAAAGATTTGCGTTAAAGAGCAAAATTCAATCATATATTGCATACAAAGAAATTCACTCAACAAAAATTAACAATTTCTCATTTGGAAACAAAAAATTTCCTTGTACCATGTTTAATGAGCAATACCTAAATATGTTTTTGATGTTACTTCTCTCTATCATCATTCAGTAGAAGTGAAACTAAATAAATGAATATACTTTTATTGGAACTAACATTCTTGTGAAAGGTGGCCGAGTTTTTTGTCATTTTGAAGGGTTCTAATTGATTTTAGATCCTTGAAGCCAATAAAGTTCTTGTAAATGTATTAGAAAGAGAATTCCTGGTTCTCATTTCTCATAGCTGTTACAAGTCGGTATAATCTAGAACACCAATCTCAATCCACTTCTTACTACGATAAAAACTAAAGATTTTTTCAAGAGGAATGAAGACTACCTACATGAACATAAAATTTATTGAATAATCATATCATGAATTCTTTAATACGTTGTAGTGAATATTATCTAGAATCTTCGCTGCTTTATTCTTCTGATTAATCGTAGCTTAGCAGCAAGAGAATTAGAACCACCAGCTTTCTTCTTTGACACTTTTTCACTGATCTATGCTAACATTTACTATTATTATTATCTTCAAATTATGTACTTGCTACAAAAGATTTACTTATTGTAAAGATCTTTATTTTGAATCTTAATGGTCATTTTACCTTGTAACAGAAATGGGAGTATTAATTGGAAAGGGTGGCTATTATGGGAATGTTTTTAGAATAACACCTCCTCTTTGCTTCACCAAAGAAGATACAGGTGAGAGTTTCTCTGCATTTAATGCAAGGTGCTTATGTTATAGCAAATTTTGCTTGTCAAAATTATTGAAATTATCTAAGTATTTCTTCTCCATACGTAGATTTCCTGGTTGATGTGATGGACGTCGCAATGTCAAAGCTCTGAAGTCCCTTTCTGCTTCTTATTTGATACATTAAGTGTTATACCGTAATCCCATATGCCTGTACATTTATTGCGTTGTAAGATATCATTGTACTGTGGCATCGGCCTCTTGTTTTGTATGGCAAGTATTCACTTATTGAAATGAATCTCTCTCCCTTCCCCCTTATTTTGTTCCGCTTATCTTTGAATGCTACTAAGTGTATTTTTCTATTTTAGAGCTTAATCCGAGGGTTCTTTGTGTGAAAAATTGACATATATGAGAATTTCCCTTGGAAGTACTACAGCACTTAGATATATGTATTTGCTATTATGAAAAGGAGGACAAAGTATAATGGGTCATAGGGTTGTTGCCTCAGTGTCATGAAATTTTGAATAAAAATTTTATATAAATATCAAAATATACTAAATCACTTTAATAAAAATCCATTTCACTAAAAAACCATTTAGTTAGAGAGAGATGGGGAGAGATTAGTACTGAGAGAAATTTCAATTCAGAGAGTTTATATCTATTTTCATATGTGAGGCCAATTCGAGAAATTATCAGGATTGAGATAGGTTATATTTATTATATCATAAGTTTTAATAATGTTAGCCTACGGGGAATTTGATTATGTAGATTAATTGGGTTGTATTATTGCCTCGAATCCCAGTTAAATATGTCATGTTGGGGGATTCTACCCATTGTTTGGGAGCACACAAAAATTATTTTTCTTATAATGCCCCATTGTGTATGTACCTGAGTGCCCTAATGCTGTGTGCCTGAGTGACCCTACGTTGCAGAGTTCACTTGGAGAAATGACTGAGAGCATAGCACCATAGTTTGGGCTCCAAAAATTCGGCCTCAGACTCCCTGATGCTTTTTGAGAGAGTTTTAACAGATTATGTTCTGGGGTAAATTTTGGGAATGCAGATTGGGATTGTATATAAGACATTACCTAGAGATTTTGCCCTCATTTTGTGAGGAATTTATGATCTGAGTTCTGGTTTCTTGTAGGCGCAATCCCTTATAGTTAATTACCCCTCCCGATAATGAGAGAGAACTTTTGATTAAGACTAGTCATCAATCAGATATGTAGAGGTATGTGTTATCTGACATAGAGTAGCAGCAAGAGATCAAATATTGGAAGTTTGAAGATTTGATATTTAAAATAGAAATTTTTATCATCTTTCACTTAAAGTGGATGGTGGGGGAATGAATGATGGACCCGATCAAGATATCATGGTTTCGTCGTCTCACGCCATCGTGGTCCCCGGTCTTAGGGCTGCAAGAGAACTAAACGTTTGACGAGCTACTCGTTGCTCGGTTCGATTAAAGCTCATTTGTGATTGTTTAACTAACTAAACAAACAAACTTGAATAACATTTTTAATACTCGATCCTTAAATAAACAAGATTGAACACTAATGTGTTCGGTTCATTTATGTTCATGAACAAAATCATTTAAAGCTCGTGAACATGCTCGACATTAAACTCGATAAAAGCTCGATTCGTATTCGATTCAGAACTTGTGAATAAGCTTGATAAAAACTCGATTAATATTTAATTATAAAATTGATAAATCATATAATATAAATATTTTAATTTATTATAACATAATGATATAAATATTTTTAATTATTAATTTTTAAATAATTAAATATTATAATATATGTTGTAGTTTTAATTTCCTTGCAATTGCTAATTTATTATATTACATCTTTAGAGCTTGCTCATTTGATAGCTCAAGAATACTTGTTACATTTGTTCAAGAACATGCTTGTTTGAAAGTTTTAAAAAATTCGTTAAATATGTTCACGAATAGAGCTCGTTAAAGCTCGATAAGCACTAAATGAATCGAACATGAACCAAACATGAACACCATTAATTTAAATGAATCAAACATGAACACAAACAATAAAGCTCGAATCAAACATGAACCGGACTTGAACAAGTTAATAATAAACGAACTCAAGCATGAACACTCACATACTCGGCTTGGTTCGGTTCGTTTGTAGCCCTACCTGGTCTACTTAGTCAGAGGAGGTAGTCGGCCGAACCTGACATAAGGATTCTTATCGGCAGCCATGGGTTGCTTCATCCAAGGGTACCTTGTAAACCTAGGGGGAGTGTTTGTCTAGGGGAGTAATTTTTGAATACACCTTAGCTAACATAGGGCTTTGTACTATATCGATTATATCTTATTTATTCATATCTCATGGATTTAATGCCATTGACGAGCTTACGGGATTTGGCCATAACCATAATTTAGTAGTGTCATTTGGCAGCAAACCACCTAGTTAGAGGACCCTAGTCATAACTATTTAACTGTGGTTCCATTTAGTGGCAAAACTGTCGGTTAGAGGACATATATCACAACCTTATTAGTAGGAGACTTTTTGAGAAAGAATCATAGTGATATTCTCGACTAGGCATTAGCTCTTTGTGAGCTGACGTATTTTTTAATTTTTTCACTTCAAAATATTGTTACGAAAGATGGATGATTTTTGCTTTAAGAGATTTGAGAGATTATTTCAATTTTAAATATTTTGAATTTTTGTAATTTTCAAATTTTGGACTTTGGCTATTTAGGTGGCATTTGAAAATGAATTAACCCCTCTGATTGCGGCCTACGTTCAACATGAACATCATCAGGGTGTATGAGGTCAATTATATTTATGGATTAAATCTTATCGACACTATCAACTTGTTGACAAAGGATCAAGTTTTCATAGGTTTCAAGCTTTTGTCGGTGAATTTCATTATTCATTGACCTTGAAGGCCTTATATGAATGTATAAAATAGATATTCCTATCAACATATTGACTGTATATTTATTTGATAATTCGAGCCGTGTTGGCTGCTATCTAACTATATAGAAGTATTGGACTCGAACTTAGGTTCATTTATTGACCCACGTAGCATCCCTAAACGTTACATATATACCCCTAACATAGTCGCTAGGGCACATACGTGTATGTGATTGCACATGTCCCTTTTGTATACATATGTGCATACATATTACAATGCTCATGTGGGGACATTCTTGTATTATTTGACGGGTCTTTTATGGAAGCTCATAGAAACACATATTTAATGTACCCACTTTATATTTTTCTTTTGGACAATATATTGGGTGTATATTGGGTCTTATGCAATGGCCCGTAGGTGTTGGTGTACATTGTATAACTTTCACTTTTGAGTTTGGTGCAATCATCAGTGTAAGCTTGGGAGACCACTTTTGTATCAGGAACTCGTAAGCCTCAATAATCTTATTTAACTTGACATTTAGAATTTGGTTGAACTGAGAATCATTCACTTCATCCCTGAAAATAAAGATTTGATCTAGAACTTGAATAGAAATCGATAGGAAACTCCCTAATTTCATCATCATCATTATTTTATGTTGTTGGATTAAATAAAGAATTAATTATTTCAACATTGAATGACTACGTTCTTATTAATGCCTTACATGCCAAAATCAGGGGCTACTATCCTCTACTAGCAATTATAGCAATTAAAGGCATATCACACTGTCCACCATGCTCATTATATGTTGACTTTATGCATTCGTAGGAATGACATCTTCTAGCATTTGTTTATGAATAATGTTGCTACGTATGCCTTGGATATTTTGTTACATGCAGAATTGGATATACTTATTTTAGGTTCTAGAGTTGTTAAATGTAGAAGCACCCTGGAATTTTTTGGATATCATTTGTCCTTGCTACACAACTTATAGATGCTATCACTTGTTATAATTTCTTTTATTTTTTGCCTATGATCTTCTACATTCATAGCATGCCAATCATCATTGCTTGTAGGTAAATGAGCATACTCGTTTATGAACTAATGCTGATTGCTAGGTGGATTGTACTCATTGTTGATATCCTTTACATACATTCCTCGACAAGTTAACATGCTCATTGTATGTTGACTTTCAGTGTTCATAGGGGATTGCTGTATTTTCTAGATGCATGATTGATATTGACTGTGAGTGTCTTCATAATCATCATATGTTGTAATCGCTATTGGTGTTCACAAGAGAGTTAATATATTCATTTTTTAGCTTTCTGTTGTTGAATGTATATTTGCTGTTACAGGGGACATTATAACATTCATCATATGATGCATTATGTATGTCTCTAGGAAGCTTCATTCTGCTGATTGGAAAATTGTTGCATTTGCATGTGTATCTTTGAGTGCTTGTGGGAGCAATTGTATGCATCCTCAAGGCAGTTGACATTAGTTGTAGGGAGACTAGTTGCATCCATAGTCTATCAACTGTCATCGTCTATAGGTGTTTGTATCCACCGCCACTCTTCTAATATTACTTACAATTATATTGCATTCCTTGTTTATGACTGTTGGTAAACCATCTGGTTCAATGTATATTTATATGCATCATTGATCACTTGCTATATGTTGATATTTTTGTATTGATTGATATAATCAACATGTTCATCAAGAGCTCACATTGTTACTTATGAACAAGTTAACAATTTTTTTTATTAAAATTTCAATGAGTCCCCCATCCTTTCATTGATTTTTAATTGGATAACTAGGGATATTAATTAATATTTACATCTCAATGTGAATATGCATTTATTAAATCAAAGTTTGGTCCCCCGTGTCACATTCAATATTACAGTATAGTCCCATGTTGTTGTTCATTTGAGTTCAAATCATGTTGAGTTCAAGTTCATTCAAGTATTCTTTCGTTGAAATTGCAAGCTCATCCTTGTGTTCAAATAATTAAGTTAAGTTAAAGTTCTCAAGTTATAATCTCAAGTCATTGTTCTTTGTCAATTAATTTAAGTTCAGCTTTATGTTAAAGTTGTTGTTAATCATTTAAGTTATGTGGCACTTTGTATCATGTTCAGATTTTAGTCCAACTCCAACTCCTCTATATTTTGTCCAAGTTCTTTGCATTTTCAGATGAAATTCTAGTAGCTTCTTGGCATCTCCCCCATTTAGGAAAAATTATATAAAATTGGGCCTTCCCACCATACTAAGAAAAGTGTGTATGGTAGGTGTCTTTGAACATCGCGGTCATAATTTTCATCTTCCACTATGCCAAGAAAGGTGTGTATGGGTCTTTAAAGGCACATGTTTGAAAACTCAGTTGTTTCCCCACGTATGAGTACCTATAAGTATCCTCATCTCACCATAGGTTTTGCAGCGGGTTCT